AGTTGTGCTTTATTGAGTATATGGTAGAACTCTAAACTTTTCATTAAAAATTCATTTCCCAATTTTTTTTTCCTACTTTGAGGCTTTTTTAATATAAACAATAAATCATTGGAAATATGCTGTTGAGAATAAACTGTAAAGCGACGTTCGACTTTGTTTTACTGTAGGCACGATCAAAGTCAGTGATAAATTACCAAAATAGAAAAGACCTCTCATTTTGTGTAAAAATGTTTTTTTTTTTTGAGGAGGGGGGGTTAAAACAGTTCTTCCGCAGTTTTATTGCAGGTTAAATGTTCTTTTTTTTCAGCTTTATAATTGTAATAATTTTGTGTTTGTCAATAGCAAAATGGCCAAATTATGACGGTAGCAGAAAGATTATAACTGTTTTATAGAAAAATCGATAGGCACAACTAAATACAAAATTGTGATTCCTCTATTTGTCTTCTTTCTTTATTTATTTATCTATATTTTTGTTAATTTGTTAAACATCGTTTAACAGAAGTATTTTCTTGATTATGCCTAGCAGAAAAGAACTGAGAAAAAAAAACATTTTAGTGGTGCAAAACGTACCTACAATTTATTGGTTTTAAAGCAAAAAATTTTTTAAATTGTAACAGAAGAAAACTTTGATACTAAAACACTGTATATTGTTTTCAACTGTTATCTTTCAGTTTCACATATTCCATACAGTTATTTCCCTACTTATTTCGCTTCAATTTTTGCTAAAAAATAAAAAAGAAAGAAAACTTATTCTATTGTTTTCTTGTCAGCAATAAGTCATTTGGAAGTTTCTGAGCAGCGTGGTTAACGATACCACTATAGTGACTAGTTATACGGCAGACATTGTTGATTTACGATTATTTAACCCGCAGTTTTGAGCTTTTTTTATTTGTTGCTTACTATGTAGATTACTAGTGTTAAGCTGAATGTTTATAGAATAAGTGAGAAAAACAACGTGAAGATAAAACGACATTTTGGAAAATTAGACGGTAACAGAATGTTCAGTTTAATTATCATAAAAACATCACAAAAAAGTGGCACATTTGGAAGACAACAACCGATGCTTTCTTTCAGCTAACAGAAGACTGAAAGTTTAAAATTATTCAGTTTGGTGCGAACCGCATTTTTACTTCTCGTATTTCCTACTCTTTCTTTTTTTTTTTTTTTTTTTTTTTTTT